GTGTTCGCCCCGTCTTTAGTGAAGAACTCCACATAGAAAAAACACACAGCATCACCCCCAATAAATGCGCGCGCTCCCTGACGTCACCGCTCAGCGTCAGCTCCCAACGGCTGCCCACTCCAGAAACTCCAAGCCCCAAAACCCAATGCAGGTACCAAACACATCTAAAAATAATAACTAAACATGAACATAAATCATAGAATAGAGAATGGCACCAACATGTATGTTGTAAAATGATGTCATCATGAGCTTTATTATTTGGGTTTAAAGGGCCCGGTCTTTTGCCCCGCCCCCGACCCGGCTCCGATCTGTTCCGCTAGTGCTTGCAATAACACACACAACGGGGACACAAGCAGACCATTTCACACCAGGAAAAAACAACACCAGAAAGAATGTGAAAAGGAAACAGCCACACGACTCACAAGAGCACAAAAAGAAAATCACTATATCTGACCACTGTAAAACAAACATTCACATCATGGACTGGGACGGGGCAAGTATAATCAGTATTGCACAGGACAAGCACAAACGATGGATCAGAGAGGCAATCGAAATCAGAAAGCGCGCTGAGAGAACCATGAACAGGGACGACAGTAAATTTACTGTTTGCAAGAAATATTAGAATGAAGTTTTTTTTTTACATACGCAGCATCGTGACAAAGTTTAGCCACAAAATACCACATACACACCAGCAAAAGATCAAAATGGAAACCATGGCAGTTCATTTAAAATCACAGCTGCTCAGTCAAAGTGCTTTCTAGTAGAAAAACGACTCACCCAAGTTTAAATATTACAGTTAGAGGTCTACAATAATAATAACATACATTTCTCTGACTATTTTCAATATTAAAACTTAGAACCAGGGAAATCAAATCAATTCAAAGACTATATGAGCAGCATATTGTTGAAATGATTTATGATGCAATGGAAATGTTTAGTTAATCAAAATCTAAATGAAACTCAACAAACTGAAAACTAGAACGTAAAGTGATTTTGTTTTATTACATGTGTGCTTATTTGTTATGTATCTGTTTAGTTTGGTTTCTGTAGTCGTGCTGCTGTTTAGAATCTGTTCATAGGTTCCTTCGTTTATTTTTGGTGAATGTAGAATTACTATTTCTGCTACAAACTGTGTGATAAGAGAGAGATGAAAGGAAACGACCACGGAGGAGAAACAAAAGTTCAGTCACAGTTTCTGCCGGACCTTCGTGGTGTGACACTCGGCGGAAGTAAGCAGTGAAGAGGCGCCGCCAGCGTTACTGTCAGACGGACTGTGTTGTGTTATCACGGAGAAATATTTGAACGTTAAAAGTCAGAATGTGTTCAGTTCAGCATCTGAGAGAGTTGATCAGCGACAGACTGACTGCTGCTGCTGAAGAAATATTCACAGAGTTTGAAAAAACCATCGTCCAGTACAAGGAGGAGATCGATCGTCAGCGCAGACTGCTGGATATCATCTGGAAACCACAGATCCCCTTATACACCATAGGTATGTACAGCTGGAAAGATGTGAATGAAAGAAGTCACGACGAGGAATCATATGTGATAAACACGCAGCATGTGTACAGCACAGGAGAAAGTGAACCAGAAGATCACTGCCCAGCGTAGAAACTTTCCTTGAACTAAAGAGCTAACAAAGACTAATCAGACTTCCGGTGGACATGCTAACGAGGCTAACTAGCAAAGCAACGAGTAGCAATGGGTTCAACATGGGTGGCAGAACTCCAGCGATGTCCATGCTTCGTGTTGCGATCGGCAAGGTCCGTTTACTCTGACACCAAATGATTAGCTTGTGCGACCATTGAAGATAGTAATTGGAAAAGTTAGTCTGGAGCCCTGATTTATAAGACATTTATTCTTTTTGTGTTAAAGGAAAAAGTTTGTTTCTTTTACATCTAGACCACATTATACCAGGTGCATACATGCAGTGGTGAACAAAAGTTTACATACATTACATGTATGTCATGGCAGTTCTGAGTTCCCTGTGACTCCTGTAACTCTTAATTTTCTATAAGAAGTTTCTTTGTCCACGTGATCAGCAACAAACTTGAGCTGAGCTTTAAGGAGCCATTCTGGAGGGAGGGCTTCTTTCCAACATGGCAGCCTCTCAGCCCATGCTGATGTAAAATACACTTGACTGTGGACACTGACACATGTGTTCCAGCAGCTTCTAATTCATTGAAGACCTGCGTTTTGATCTCAGCAGCAGGTGATTTTTTTCCCCTGATAGTGGCAGTGACACAACTGTGCCATGCACTTCATACTTACAAAAAATAGGCTTCTGTTGCTCAGGTTGGTCTCTGATCATAAGGTTGGCAGTTTGATCCCCGGACATGGACGGGCTACAGTTGAAATGTCCTTGTGCAAGACACTGGATTTGAAGTTGCTCCCAATGGCAGGCTAGTGCCTTGCATGGCAGCTCTGTCATTGTTGTATGAATGTGTGTGTGAATGAATGGGTGAATGAGAAAACATTGCAAAGCGCTTTGAGTGCGACTAAGGTAGAACAGCACTATGTAAGTGCGGTCCATTTGCCATTTATCCAAAAAAATGATTGCCTAGAGGACTAAACCAGGTGACTTTCCTGACTTCATCAAGTCAATGATTTTCAGATCTGTGATTTGAAAATTTAAAAAGAGGATTTTGGACCACTGAGCAACAGTCCAATTCTTTTTGTCCTCCATCCAGTATGATGCTTCTGACGTGTCTCTGGTTCAGGACTGGCTTAATGTCAGAAATACAACATGTGTTCCAGCAGCTTCTAATTCATTGTAGACCTGCGTTTTGATCTTAGCAGCAGGTGATTTTTTTTTTCTTGATGGTGGCAGTGACACAACTGTGCCATGCGCTTCATACTTACAAAACAATGTTTGCACAGAGGACTTTGGGATCTACAGCTGCTTTGAAATGGCACAAAATGACTTTCCTGACTTCTTCAAGTCAATGATTTGCTTTTTTAGATCTGTGATTTAAACTTGACTTTCACCTGAAAAGAGGATTTTGTACCACTGAGCAACAGTCCAATTCTTTTTGTCCTCCACCCAGGTAAGACGCTTCTGACATTGTCTCTGGTTCAGAAGTGGCTTGATGTCAGAAATACAACAGTTTAGCTCCTTTCCTGAAGACCCCTGTGCTTAGTGACTCTTGTTGCACACCAGCACCAGTTCACTCCTTGTGAATCTCTCCCAAGTTCTTGAATTCACTTTTTTTTTTTTGACAATCCTCTTCAGGCTGCAGTCATGCTTGTGCACCTTTTCATTCCACACTTTCCCTTTTCCAGTCAACTTTCCATTAACATGTTTGGAACAGTTAATTGACTTTTCAGCAAGTAGCTTCTGGGGTCAGTCCTCCTTGTGGAGGGTGTTGATGCTCATCTTCTGGACAGCTTTCCAGTCAGCAGTCTTTCCCATGATTGTGGTTGCGTGTACTGAACTAGACCTAGAGATACTGAAATATTCTACTACTTTAAAAAAAAAGTGGACTGGGCTGAAAGGTGGGGCGGTGGTTAGCAAGTTGCCTTGCAGCTAGAAATTCCCTGGTTTGCGCACCGGTTAGGATGTCTGGGATTATTGTGCGTGGAGTTTGCCTGTTCCATGCAGTGTGGATTCTCTGGATTCTCATGTAGTCTAAATTTGTTTGTTTTTTTTAAACTAAACTAAATTGTCCCTAGGTGTGAATGTGCTTGGTTGTCTGTCTCTAAGTGATAGACTGGGGACCTTTGCAGGGTGTCCCCTGCCTTCCCCCTGAGTCGGCTGGAATAGGCTCTAGGCCCCCCGCGACCCTCGTGAGTATTCAGCGGTGTATAGATAATGGATGGATGGATAAGCTATAATATATAAGCAAAAATAATCAAAATTCAAACACAAAACTTGAAATGTTTTACTTCACATGTAATGAATATAGAATATATCAACGATGACCATTTTGAGTTATTGGTAAAACTGATAGCATGTCATACAAGATAAACCAGGTCCTACCTCAGCCTCTCAGCAACGTTTTAGTTGTTTCTTGAAGTTCCTATTCTGATAGATGTGTGTTTTTCTTTCATCACATCAGTAACCATTTTCTTGTGTCCCTTTGTCCCTAGAACTCCCACTGCACTATGTCTATCAGGAGGAGGAGGCTCCTGCTGACCTGCTTTGTAATCAGGAGAAGAACTCTGGTCTGCACCAGAAGGATCCAGACCAGTTACAGATGAAAGAGGAACAGAAGGAGCTCTGCACCAGTCTGGATCAGGAGGACCCAGAGCCTCAACAGATTAAAGAGGAACAAGAGGAACTCTGCACCAGTCTGGACCAGGAGGACGCAGAGCCTCCACAGATTAAAGATGAACAAGAGGAACTCTGCATCAATCTGTACCAGGAAGACCCAGAGCCTCCACAGATTAAAGAGGATCAAGAGGAACAGGAGGGACTCTGCACTGGTCTGTACCAGGAGGACCCACAATCCTCACAGATTAAAGAGGAACAAGAAGGAGTCTGCACCAATCCGGACGAGGAGGACCCAGAGCCTCCACAGATAAAAGAGGAACAAGAGGAAATCTGCACTAATCTTGGCCAGGAGGACCCACAGTCCTCACAGATTAAAGAGGAACAAGAGAAACAGGAGGGACTCTCCACCAGTCCGGATGAGGAGGACCCAGTATCCTCACAGATTGAAGAGGTACAGCCATATGTTTGTAACACATGTGGAAAAAGATTTTCTGAGAAATCAAAACATAAAAGGCACATAGCAATCCACAAAGAGGAAAAGCCATATTCTTGTGAAACATGTGGGAAAAGTTTCTGTCGTCAGGATAACTTAGTGCTTCACATGAGGACTCACACAGGTGAGAAGCTGTACTCTTGCAAAACCTGCGGAAAAAGTTTCAGTGGAGGAAGCTATTTGAAAATCCACATGAGAAGTCACACAGGTGAGAAGCCGTACTCTTGTAAGACCTGCGGAAAAGGTTTCAGTGACGCAGGGAGGTTGAAAGTCCACATTAGAACTCACACAGGTGAGAAGCCATATGCTTGTAACACGTGCGGAAAAAGATTTTCTAACACATCAACACATAAAAGGCACATAGCAATCCACAAAGAGGAAAAGCCGTATTCCTGTGGAACATGTGGGAAAAGTTTCATTCGTCAGGATAACTTGGTGATTCACATGAAAGCGCACACAGGTGAGAAGCCGTACGTTTGCAGCACATGTGGAAAAGGATTTTCTGACGCAATAACACATAGAAGGCACACAGTAATCCACAAAGAGGAAAAGCCATATTCCTGTAAAACCTGCGGAAAAAGTTTCAGTCAGGGAGGTACTTTAAAAATCCACATGAGAACTCACACAGGTGAGATGCCGTACCCATGTAACAGTTGTGGGAGAAGATTTAGTTTCAGATCCAGTTTGAAATTACATGTGAGAACTCACACAGGTGAGAAGCCGTACTCTTGTAAAACCTGCGGAAAAAGTTTCAGTGGAGGAAGTAGTTTGAAAATCCACATGAGAACTCACACAGGTGAGAAGCCATACCTTTGTAACACCTGTGGAAAAAGATTTTCTGAAAAATCAGCACATAAAAGGCACACAACGATCCACAAAGAGGAAAAGCCATATTCTTGTACAACATGTGGGAAAAGTTTCGGTCGTCAGGATAACTTGGTGTTTCACATGAGAACTCACACAGGTGAGAAGCTGTACTCTTGTAAAACCTGTGGAAAAAGTTTCAGTCAAGGAAGTAGTTTGAAAGTCCACATGAGAACTCACACAGGTGAGAAGCCGTACTCTTGTGAAACATGCGGAAAAAGTTTCAGTCAAGGAGGTAGTTTGAAAGTCCACATGAGAACTCACACAGATGAGAGGCCGTACTCTTGTGTAACCTGCGGAAAAAGTTTTAGTCAAGGAGGTAGTTTGAATGTCCACATGAGAATCCACACAGGTGAGAAGTAGTACATGCTGCTGTATTTTTGGTATCATACTTCATCCTTCATCAGCATAGCAGTGATGTGAGATATTGTGAAGCTCTTTGGAACATGTTCACATCCTGCTGGAAGGACATGGTTGATCATGTGTGAACATACTGCTGGAGTCCAAGCAGCTCGAGTGCTGCTGTCTTTAAAGTAAAAGGATGCAAAGAAATACTGAGGCGTTATGACAGTAGGTCACAGCAGAGCGCATCTTTGCATCGGAAGAGATCTGCACATGAACCTCCTTTGATTGTTTGTCATGTTTCAAAGACAGACAGCTGAGGAGATGAAGTGGACTTCTGTTGGTACCTGTAGAGGAGGTTGATACAGTCAAGATGGTCATAGTGTTTCGTTCCATCATTACATCTTCAAATGTTGTTAATTTTAATTTCTTCATCAGCAAAATGTCACATCCATAGCAGCAAACAGAAACCACCTTTACTGATTTAATGTGTGATTTAAAATGTGATCTTCACAGGCTGTAATGCTGTACAGGTCAGACTGTGTGAAAACTACAGCCATATGTCAGGAAATTAATCTGTCATCTGTTTGTTCCTCATCAGTGATTTATTTCTTGATGGATAATTGTAAATGCTAAACTTGTTTTAAACTCCACATTGATCTTAAATAAACTTTTAAAAAACTGTCTGCAGCTCCATGAGTGCTTTGAGAAATGTTTTGAATGTATTTAAACAGATTAACATTTACAACTTGTTTAATAATGACTTTAACAGTGACGAGCTCCAGCAAAGGTGTTCTTGTTGTTTATTGATTTTCGATGATGTAAAGGTGAAGAAGAAATTCTCTGCAGATACTGTGTTGTTGATATATAAAAAGGTTTATTGCAACAAGTACAACATCTCAGTCGCCCGTGAGAAGATTCGAGGTAGAAACAATCACCCCACTGAATAACCTTAACCACTGGTTATGTGAACTGGGGGCTGTTCACGTAAAACTAAGACGAACTGTGTGGTTCACATCCTGAGGGAAGCCCATTCTTTTAAACAAAGAGGCACCTTTGGCCTAGGGACTCTTAACTAAACATTCCCATGAGGTGGAACATCAGATAACATATGTTTTGAAGCAACACATAATTGGTTTCACTCGTAGTAAATGATACACACCCGCAAATGTTAAAAACATGTCAAGCTAGGTTGCCGTTTGTGCTGTTTCAATAAAGACCTTGTTTTAGTTCTTTCTCTTTTTATCACCACATTGGTCATCAGTGTGATTTGTTAATAGGATCTTATGATGTAGTCAGGTCACTGTTAGTTATACAGCACATTTGAAACAACAGCAATTGAGTCAAAGTGCTTTCCAGTAGAGAAGTAGACACAATGTCACTAATTTGCTTTAACAAGTTTAAATATTAAGAGCTTGCAATAATATTAATGGCATTAAAATGCCTGACTAATTCAAATATTAAGTTTAAGACCCTATAACATTATTTATACCATGGTCTGGGTGAATACTCGATTCTGATTGGCTGCAAAAAAAGTGATATAGGACACCTATAAAGAAGTTCCGGTCAAATAACCTGATTGTTCTAAATTAATGCGCTGACTCAAACGGTAGTTGGTAACCGTGGCAACAGAAACTCAGAACATACGTTAAACATTTAATGATCAGAGTGAATGGTGGATAGTATTTCTTGCAATAAAAACGATTTAGGAAACAATCTGTGGACTTTGATTCTTTTATATATATATATAT